GGCAGATATAATAACATTCCTGTCCATCTGAGATTTTGTATACTGGGGAAGTGGAAGATATTGTACATTATCTTTTGTATTGTCCTCTTTATACATCCCATAGGAAAAGGTTCCTTGAATGCATTTTACATTCCCTGTCCGATAGATCTTGTCTGCACCAAATTTGTCTTCTTCTGGCTGGAAATGATGTATTCATCACTTGTATGGTTGCAAAATTTGGTTTAGCTGCCAGTAAGATTAGAATCAATTCTCTTAAGGGGAAGGATGACTAAAACTTGCTCAGTTGTATTTTTCCATTATCATTATTAATGATTTATTACCATGTTTTATTGTATTTTGCTGATAGCCCTCCTCACCTATCTTTCCATGTTGATTCATTGTCAGTTTTTGTGTAGTATATTTTATTTAGTTATTTAGTATTAATACTATTTTGTTCTTTAAATGTTTTGGGGTTTTTTTAATGGATGGATTTGTTTTATATATTTGTTTTATATTGTTTTATATTGTGATGGCTTTTAGCTTTTAACAATAAACTTCATTCAAACTATTCAAACTGATTTTTATACATCGTTCCTGTCTAGCGTTTCCACTGAATCACATACTTTTTTTGCTCAAGTACCCTTACATTTATAAATTTACTGCTTCTTCTACTGTGGACTACTTCACATATTTTATTTTATTTTATTTTATTTTATTTTATTTTATTTTATTTTAAAAACTGATGGAGTTTTTTGGTATTCTTTTTATTTTTTATTTTTATTTTTTTGATTTGGGAAATGAAACCAGGGAATATAAGCAATGTGTTACAAACAACTCATAGCCAATTACTGCTTTGAATAAATAAGGAGATTATTACACTGCCAAATTCTCACCAGGATAGATGTGGGTTGTAAGCATAACAGATGGATATGATTGCAACCTGTGCCTATCCCAGTAGGATTTGATGGTGCAATAATCTCCTAAATCACAGCTAAATTAACTCAATGCAATGTAACTCAATTAATGTAACCACTTTTTTGTGGTGTAATCATTTTAAAGTTAATTTTAAAGTTGCCAAGAGTGGTCTCATTAAATGTTGAAGGTGAAAAAGCACATAATTCATGTGCTGGCTTATGCTTTTTCTTTTGCTGCTTTCTCCATACTCTGTTGTGAGTTAGGAAAGAATAATGAGGTGGATGGGAAGAAAATGTGCTTTGCATTATGGGTCACTGGCTAGCAGCTTGTAGCATTCAGATTTGTTTTTAATAATTGATTAAAAGATTAAATATTTTAGCTACATTTGAGGAAAGAGGGGAGTAAAGAGCTACTTAAATTATAACTTTAACGGCAACTGACTATTCTGGGGGCCTGGGATCTATAGCTGTAACAAGGTATTGTTTAAAAGCAGTTTCCCAAACTCTCTTAACACCATGGATTCAAGAGAGGGACTTCTCAAACTTTCTTGTGCTTGTCAGGCAAGTGTTTGTTTTTTTTCCTTTTTCTTTTTGTAAGCCTTCTTCTGAGACTTTCAACTACCTCTGGGAAAAAAAGAACCAGTCAATTGTCAGAAAAAACATAAAAATTTCTGTATATTTTGAAAATGCCACCCTGTGTCATGATGAACCAATTATCATCCCTGTTGTTTGGTTTAAATGACTTTTTCCCACTGATGTTCCTGAGTTACCTAATCAGTTTTACCATTTTTGTTTATTAGGTTAATTTGGAAGGAGTGATTCAAAGTTTGTGTGGGGGTGTTTAAATATAGTACAGTACTAGCTAGTTTAGAACTGAGTAAAATGGACTACATTTTGTCATAACTCTTAATATTCACAGTATAGTTTTCAGTGCTCACCATGGTGTTCTGTGATCAATGGTCTGAGGGACATGACCTTATCCTGCTAGTGATGCTCACTTGCCCACATCAACCCTTTTTCTTTCATATTTATATGATTCTCACTGCAATGATTCCATATGTCTGTGCTTCTTTTTAAATGAGACAAGCCTCCCATTCACAGAGGTACAAGTGCAGTAAAAACAGTCTAATTTATAGAGGGCAGTGTTCTATTTGGAAGTGTTCCCTGTTTGGAGGATCGCTCATCTGAGTCCAATTTAAAGACAGAATCAGTGCAATGCACAAATTGCTTCATGAAATTATTCACATTGTTTATGGTAATAGAAATTGCTGGGATAGGTAAGGAATCAAAACCATTTGAATGATTTTTTTTTCTGGTATGTAGAGAAAAATATCTAAATGTTACTTAGATATGGGGCTGGCCATCAGCAGAAGAGTCTTTGCCTGCTTCCCCCTGTCCCCAAGGTTTAGGGAAGCATTGCTGAACACTAGCAACATTTGGGACAGTTTAGCCATCATCTTCACAATGCCCCATTCTAGACCATGGTGGGCAGAAAAGAGAGAGAAATTTTGGAAATGTGAATCTTGCAAACTATAGAAATATTTCATTATGATTAATTCAGACTGTCCTTTTATAGGGTGTGTGTCTGAAATCAGTTGTGGAGTGAATGGTAGAACCTGGTAATGGCATTTTCAGATAGGAAGAGGAGAGAATCCTGAAAGAATGAAGAGCCACTTCCAGTTAGTACAAACACTACTTAGCTAAATGAGCCAGTGGTTTGTCTCAGTAATTTTCTGTGCTTCTATGCTCCAAAGTCATCACATGGTGAGATTCCAGTTTTATTGGAGTGAGGTTCAGAAAGATATATAATAAATGTGAAAAGATGCACTGGATTCATACATCGAGTAAATATCAAGAAATCAAGGAAACAAACATTATTGTTTATAGTTCTATTCAGTGCAAGGAAGGTGTGGAATAATTTCAATCATTAGTTCCAAATAGAGTTGTTGCTGTTGTGTAACTTCAAGTCATCCTCGACTTATGGTGGCCTTAAGGTGAATTTATGGAGGGATGCTTCTTGGCTAGATTTGTTCATATGGTGTTTACCATTGCCTTCTTTTGAGGCTGAGAGAGTGTGACTTGCCCAAGGCTAACAGAGGATTTGAACACTAGTCCCCTGGAGTCCTAGTCTAACACTCAAACCACTGCACCATACTAGCTCTCCTCCAAACCAGAGTATACATACTGAAAAAACAACTTGCATAAGTGTGGACGCAACAAGGTATATTTAATCTTTAATGTCAAGTGGTTAAGATGCTGACTCTGTTGACTGCAAGATTGGCAGGTTGGTAGTGTTGGAAAATGTAACTTGTGTGTAAATGTACAGATGTGGGAAAATGACATAGGGTACTGCAGGTCACTGCTGCAGCTTGTTAGCTGGGAACATTTTTTGCAGCTGGGACACAAAACAACACAGGAGATGTTCAAGGTCAGGATGTGTCTGGGAACATATAGTCAAGTGGTAAACACATTAGGTCACCATGTTTGGTGGGAACTACTATCCATGTGACACAGGAAGGAGTCACAGGAAGAAGCTGGGTTTTGAGGCCACATGGCAAGTGTCTATAAATAATCTGAACCCTCAGAATGTGGTCTCTTTGGTCTTTTTGGTCTTTGCCTTTGCCTTTGCCTTTGTTCTTGTGCTTGTATACCTTTTTTTTTTTTTGTACATATTGCAACTGAAGAATTAAAGTGCCTCTTTGGAGAAATCTGTCTCCGATCTATTTTTCTGGGAGGCTGGAAGGTTACAACTCAAGGCCAGTGATTTCGCAGCGGAGAGAAGCAGGCTTCCAGAACATTTATCTGCATACTCCAATTGCTACAACAATGGGTTATGGGCCCAGCACACTTCCGCTGTGTTGCGGAGGACAGGAGTTTGACAGGCTGTGAGTGAGTGGCACTAATTTTGTTGCTGTGCATTTTTAAGATCCTCCCTAAGCTGTTTGTTGTGGAAGGCAAATGTGTTAAGATTTATGGACAATGCTTTGTGTCTTAACACGATAGATAGTGGAAGCTGGGAAAGCTGACAGGACTCTTGAGTGTTAATTAATCATGAAGGCAGTAAAGTTTCCCAAATTGGATGAAATGAACTATAACGCATGGAGTGTATATGCTGAAGTTCAGGCTGGAGTTCAAGCTGGAGCTGCAGCAGCCATACTGGAAGATGATAAAAAAGCAAAAGCTACTCTATTTCTATCAATCTCTCCCCCTCAAATTAATTATGTCAGGGACAAGACATCCACAAAAGATGTGTGGGATGCTTTCAAAGAAATACATCAATCTGGCACAGCGTTGTCTAGGATGATTTGGTGCAGGCGACTGTAAGCGTGCAAGTTGCAGCATGGTCGATCTCTGGAGAAGCATCTGGAAATCATCCAAGATTTGTTTAATCAAGTCCAGATGAGAGGTGTTGAGATCCCAAGAGAGCAAAAAGCATACATTTTGCTGAGAAGTCTCCCAAAGGACTGTAAGCATGTTCTATATGGTCTCCAGGGAGTTCCTGGGGGGCAGATTACAGTGGAGCTGGTTGCTTCTCGAGTTTTAGAAGAAAGCCAGCATTGCCGATTCAAGACAGGACTCCAGAGGCAGCAGCAAGCAGCACCATGCACATGCCAGAGGGAGCTTCCAGAGAGCTGCAACCAGAGAAAGCAGCTGTGTCCCAGGAGAGAAAGTGTTTTTATTGTGGGAAACCTGTTCATCTGAAGAAGGATTGCAGAAAATTTGCAGCAGCCAAGAAACAACTACCCAAAGACTCTGGGACCAGGAGGGGGGCTGTGGCTGTGGCAAGGGACAGTGACAGTGACAGTGACAGTGTAACCTACTAGGAAGTCAAGCCTAATCCAGAATGGATTCTTGATTCAGGACCCACAGGACATATGGTAAACACTCCTAAGCTCCTGAAAAATAAGAAACCTTCCAATGTGCCTTCAGTTGCTTTGGTTGATGGAACACCAAGGGAAATCAAAGATATGGGGACTGTGTTCATCCCAGGGTTTGCTAAAGATTTTGATAATGTATCATGTGTACCTAAATTGCAAAACTGTTTAGTTAGTGTGTCTGCTTTGACA